AGCTCGGACTCAACTTCGGCTATTAGTATGGGTGTTGTAATATTTGAATAAACTTCGTAGCGAGGCAGCACCAGAGTTTTGAGCGGTCGACTGAATCGAAAACCGCTCTCAGATCGAGGAATATAGAAACGGTGGGTCTACGAAAGGAGTGTCTGTGTTCTAGAATTTGAAGAAGAGTAAAGGTGTGATCGATACAGCCTCGACCAGGTCTAAAAACAGCCTGGTTCTCACGCGTGCACCGTTCACGTGCGGCTGACAATTGGCGGAGTGGGATTCCAGCGAGAACATTAGAGACGTTGTTGATTAAACTCATTCCTCTGTGATGTTTACAAGAGGATCTGTTACCTTTCTTGTAAATCGGTATGATTACCGATTCACCCCATTCATTTGGAACATGTTTCCTGTTCCATATTGAGCCCATTCCATCTGGACCGGAGGCCTTATGCTTTTTGAGATAACTCATCTCCCGGGAAAGCTCTGTTTCAGATGAAGGACATCAACTAGGAGTATTTTCCCAGTCGAGGTGAGGGTTAATAGGTGAGATATCGATGGGGTCCACTGTTCAGCCCATCGATTAACGACGGCGTTGCTGATGGTGAATCAGTGTGCCATCGGAATCCATAATTACCTCACTTACGCCTATTTTCCTTGGACCCGTATTCCTTATTAGACGGAAAAGATTACGACTATTACCGATAGCCGCAGTCTTCTACATCTCTCTGCACTTTCATATCCATCAATTCTCGCGGTCACTTCTCCAACTCTTGACGAACTGGCGTTTAAGGGATTTGTGCGGTGTCATATATGGCATCAGGAGGAAGGTTTCTGCGGGCGTCCAGCAGAGCAGCCGAGGTCGACGAGATCCATCGTTTATTTTTTGAGCCTTCTCTAGAGTTCGCCGTTCTTTTTGTCAATATTTGCAAAGCTTCCTTGATTTGCTTGCAGTTTTCATTGATTCCTTCGACTGGTAGTCGAACTGATACTCTATCGAACAACTCAGCTTCTTAGACCGATTTGCAACAATCGCCGACATTGTATCGTGGGTATCCGATGTTACCAGGTTACCCAGATCAGAATTCAGAAATTATAACTGAAGTCTTCGACCAGTGAAAGCATGAATTGCAGTGCATCGAACCAGTGTCCAACCCGGACACCCTGGAGCCAGTCGGTTGGTTTTACGTCTTTGAGGCATGTTTTACGCGTCCTGAGGGTTCAGTAAACTCTGTCGCCAGAATGTCATGCAGCCAAATCTTACGCCTCTTCGAAATTGAAGACCCAGGATTTTACAACTCTCCTAGATGAAATACCCCCGTGACTCATTAAGGTTCATTCATGTGTAATCGTCGTTTATTTTTCAGCGTCCGCAGCTATCGAAAACGACAAAGAAAGTTAGGTAACTAATAAGCTTATTTAAATGTCCAACTAGTTTTTGTGAACATGCGTGAAACCGGTTTTTAGTTACTCGAGAATCTTAGCCATAAAATTGCATCAGCTGAGGTGAACTTCAATATGGTTGTTTGACTTAATCACCTATTAAAAGTGGAACCCACCTTAGTCTAGACACACCCACACAACCTATGCACGTTTTATGTCGTGTTTTTTGACCGCCTCACTAATAAAGCTTTTAAGACTAGATCGGAAATTAAGAAAGACAAGAGAGTTGAGTGGTCGCAATGAAGACGGATTGAGTTTGCAAACTCGTGATTCAGANTTTTTTTCTCGATGATATAACACTCAGACATGTCTGAAAGTGGCAAAGAAAAAGGTTTCTTCGGTGCTTCGCATCAGGTCACTACGGTAGACAGTCGAACATGTAGATATAACATGGCGTAGTTCTGTTCTGTTCTTACATCCATTAACCATGCACTTTCGTGCGCCGGTTTTGATTGCTGTCTTTTGGTTGCCCATTTAGATAGAACAGCATAGTGAAGATTGGAATAGTGAAAGCAAATTCAGGCGAAAGATAGCGAATTAATACAGACTGAAGTCACAAGAATACTGAGTAGATGCACAAGCTCCACTGTTTGCGACATGCGGCCCTATCACTCAGTGTCTCTAACCATCGGTGACCACCCAGGGAGCCTAAGGGGACCTATATGAGCCAGTCTCCTAGTTAGGGTTTTTATACCCTCATGCCAGGTCTTAGTTTGACCGCCCTTGATATTTCTCCAACTGCTATCTGCCTCAGCAAACATCGCTGGCAACCTATCTGATGACGTGCGTAGCACATGTCCCAATCAGCGTGATTTATGGAGGTCGACTACTTTCTCCAGTGGACGACCGTGATTACCCAGAACTCTACGCCTAACCTCAGCACTGCTCGTCCGGTTTCCTCACCAGACTCGTGCAATGCTACCTAGACAACTGTATTCAAACACCGACAGTCTATCTTTGTCCTGTTTTCTTAATGGCCAAGTCTCTGAACCGTAAAGCAGAACTGACCGAACTGCTGCAGCATATACTCGACCCTTCACAGACAGTCGGATGTCGCGACGGGGCCACAGATGTCTCAAGTTTTAAAATGCTCACCGAGCTTTCTGTATGCGGGCCGACACTTCATCTGTGATGCGTCCGCCAGGTGAGATATAGCTGCCCAGATAGCAGAACTTGTCTACTTCCTCTATTACTTCTCCAGTTAGGGTGAGGCTGGGGACTGGGCCAACCCAGTCTTGGAGCAGCATTTTACACTTTGAAGGTGCAAAACTCATGCCGAGCATGGCTATACTAGCAATCAAACTATCCAGAAATGCTTGTAACTCACCTGGATCTTCACTCAGTAGCACAATGTCGTCTGCATACTCTAGATCGAACACTCTGCCACCTGGGAGTAAGTCGATACCACTTTACTTGCACGAGGATAGGGCTGTTTCAATAATCGAATCTATGACAATTTAAATACAAACTGAGAGAGAGGGCAACCCTGTCGAACACCACTTCCTGTAGTGAACTCAGGTGAAAAAGTGCAGTAAGCTCGAAGTCGACCTCGGCTATTAGCATAAAGCGATTGTAATGTTGAAAGAAACTTCTCGGGCACACCCTTTAGAGTGAGGCAGCGCCAGAGTTGAACGAACCACTCGTGTGGGAGCTTATAGAGAACTATCGCGCAAGGCCTTTGGATTTCGAATAATTGTGTTGTTCGCGTTGGGTTGATTGTAGGTCCGCTTTTCGGGATAGGCCCTTATTCCCAGGCACCCAATGAGAAAAGCGGAACGTGGACAGGACAGTGCCTTATTGGCTGGGGGCTGCCCAGCTTGGGCAGGCGGTAACTGTCCAATGAAATGCGAAGACCTCCCACCGTCGAGAGGAAGCCCCAGGTACCCCGCTCTTACATCCGTCTAGCGGTTTTTT